TACGAATTACGTAAGACGCTGGAAGCTGAAGAGGAAAAAGCTTTGCTAACTCCCGTTCTTTCTCTCTAGGGATTCCCAACGGGCTGGACAATTGTCCGAAGGTACCCAACCCGCTGCAGACTGACCGTGATGAAGATGGCGTTGGGGACGCTTGCGACAGCTGTCCGGAACTGAGCAACCCAACTCAGGTTTGAGCCTCTGGGAAGCTGGAGTTACGAGATGTGTAGACTGATATTTATCTTGGAATTGGAGGATTGAGGGTGCTGTAATTCCATAAAACCTGGGGAGCCTTAAATGCTACACATTCTAGATGCTTGCTTGTTCACCTGACATCCTGGTCTCTTTCAGACAGACATGGACAGTGATCTGGTGGGAGATGCTTGCGACACAAATGAGGACAGGTAACAGACAAATTTCCGATGCTTGCTAATCCTGGCTTAAAAGCGGACTCTGCCCCTTCCCAATGAAAACTAGATTCGAGGGGTCTTTTTAGTGTCAAGATTTCTATGGCCTATAAACCAGCATCTAACTGAAAACCCAACTCATTATCGGAAAGGTGGAAGACCAAACACTGTGGCCTGGAAACATTTGAAAGAAATTAGTGAGGAAAAGGTTAAACGGAGAGGGGATGAATGCTCTCAAATCTTCATCAAGGAGTATGGGATTTGTAGTCCCAAACCTCTGCGGGACGCCAGGCTGCCTCTGCATCTCTTGAGACAGAGGTCATAAATATACTCCCCTTCCTATTTGCCATTTTATGATATATAAATTAAAGTCCTTTTCCCCCCATGATTTGGTATTTGGGTGGTCAATTCCGACTCAGTTTCAAATTCCTTTCTAGTCAATTTCATTAGCTTCAGGAAGGGGAATGAAGCTGCTATCCTCCTGCTGAAAATCTGCCCTAAACATTGCAATTACTGGAAAACAATTACTGCTGGGAAAGAAATTGTACAGCTAGTACAATTGTACAATGGATGACATAACCTTGTTCTACTTTATGCCCCCCTTCCCTCTTGTCTCCACCAGAGACGGTGATGGTCACCAAGACACGAAAGACAATTGTGCAGAGATTCCTAACAGCTCGCAGCTGGATTCGGATAACGACGGGCAGGGCGACGATTGCGATAATGATGATGACAATGATGGGATCCCTGACTATCTGCCTCCGGGGCCCGACAACTGCCGCTTGATTGCTAATCCCAACCAGAAAGACGTGGACGGTAACTGTCCTCGTGGGAAGGAAAGCGATCTTAAATCTCCAACTTTTCCCAGACAGTTGTTTGTCATGTGCATGATGCTGGGATGATCCCCTTCCTGTAATGGTACAGGTAGTCCTCAACGTACGGCCACAATTGAGCCACAAACAGGGCAGTGGTTCCATGAATTTTGCTCCATTTTACAACCTTTCTTGCCTCCGTTGTTATGTGGACCCCTGCATGGTTGTTGAGAGAATCTGGCTTCCCCCGTTGAGTTTGTTCGTCAGAAGGTCGCAAAAGGCGATCGTGTGACCCCAGGAGACTCCAACCGTCATAAATGAGATGGAAGGGAGATCCTGTAGTCCAGCCCCCTGTTCACGCAGGAAACAGTATCCCACAGGATCCGGGGACACTGCAGCTGTCATAAATGTCAGTCAGTTGTCAAGCATCTGAATGTGTAACTACGTGACTCTGGGGATGCTGCAATTGTGGCAAATGTTAAAAAGGAGCCTACCTTGCTTTTTTTTAGTGCCATTGTTCCTTTGAACAGTCACTAAAAGAAACTCTTGTAAGGCGTGGATTACCTGTGTCTTCTTCCCTTTATCTACTTTCATACGCACAGCTGTGTTTCCTGCTAGCCAAGTTAAAAGCATAAAAAGCCTGGTTAAAAACTCAGGTCTTTCAGGCTTTAATGAAAGAAACCAACTTTGTGCAGAACTAAATGAACGTGGGACATTGGAGAGAGCTGGACTTTTGTTTTTCTGTTCGTATCGAGCAAAGTTAATTTACCTGAGTACTGTAACACCTTTGGCTGACGAGTTCACACGTGTTTATTGACCTGTGTAGGCAACGGCGTGGGAGACGCCTGCGAGGAGGATTTTGACAATGACACGGTGGCCGATCCGATGGACGTGTGTCCGGAGAGTTCTGAAGTGACGCTGACCGACTTCCGGGCCTACCAGACGGTCATCTTGGATCCGGAGGGAGATGCTCAAATTGACCCCAACTGGGTGGTCCTCAACCAGGTACCAGGAGAAGAAAAATGGAAGATCAGGCCAGCATCCGCCTAGCAATCAATTCTGAAGTGGCTGAGCTGTCCGCAGAAATGTAGGATTTCTTAAAACATCCTCTCTGATTGTTGAATTCTAATTTTCAGGGCATGGAGATTGTCCAAACCATGAACAGCGATCCAGGCTTGGCTGTAGGTAAGCAGACCTATGTTAGTTAGTTTGCTTTTTTTGAAGGCGCTTTCACGGTCTAGATCCCTAAAGTGAAAGTGAAAGTAAATCACGATTCTAGCTCCTCTCTTTCACCCCTGACCTCCCTGAATGTTTACCCCCTTTCACTCCTGGACCCTTGAATCTTAACACGGCGTATCTTGCAGGATACACGGCGTTCAACGGGGTGGACTTCGAAGGCACTTTCCACGTCAACACCGTGACCGATGACGATTACGCTGGCTTCATCTTTGCCTACCAAGACAGCGCCAGTTTTTACGTGGTCATGTGGAAGCAAACCGAACAGACCTACTGGCAGGCCACGCCCTTCCGGGCCGTGGCTGAGCCCAGCCTGCAGCTCAAGGTGAGTGATATTCCCTGTTTGGCACGAGGGGGGGTAACCCAAAGGTCATCTAGCCTTACCCTCTCCCAGAAAGAATCTCTCTCTCTCTGCGTGTGGGTCCTTTTGCTTCCAAACTCTCAGCCCACCGGATTGACGACTCTTTTTAATCGCTTTAAAAATCCCCTCGCCTTCAAGCCAAGATGAATGACCCCTTTTATAACCCAGTTCAAAGCCCAGCTCAACACGGGTGGTCCTCTACCTACGACCCTGTTTGAGTATAATATTTGTGTTGTTAAGTGAGCGGTCAGGTGAGTTTTGCCCTATTTTACACGTATCGAGTTTACACATCATAAACCTGCAAAGGTTGGAAAGATGGGGGGGGAGAAAATCATATTTTTTTCCCCTCTCAGATAAATCGATGCTTCGAAAGCAGATCTTGTCAAATTTTCTCATTTCGGCAGGCAGTGAAATCGGAAACGGGTCCCGGCGAGTATCTCCGCAACGCCCTGTGGCACACGGGCCACACGCCCGGCCACGTCAAGCTGCTCTGGAAGGATCCTCGGAATGTGGGATGGAAGGATAAAACCTCTTACCGCTGGCGCCTCTTACACAGACCTCAAGTGGGGTACATCCGGTGAGAATAATCTGGAGAAATTTGCAATCCCTCACTTTACGGCAGCCCAGGTTTTTTTTTCCCAGAAAAGAACAAACGCAAGGTTTTCGTTTAGTGTCATGGCTAAATGTTCCTTCTGTATCTAGAAAACCTCAATTCATGGCTAAATGTTGCTTCTGCATCTAGAAAACCACATTTCAAGACTAAATGTTCCTTCTGCATCAAGAAAACCCCAATTCATGGCTAAATGTTCCTTGCCCCTCCAGAAAACCCCAATTCATGGCTAAACATTCCTTTTGCAACCCAAAAAGCCCCAATTAATGACTCAACGTTCCTTTTGCATCCAGCAAACCCCAATTCGTGGCCAAAATATTCCTTCTGCATTCAAAAAAAAACCAAACCCAAATTGACAGCTAAATTTTCCTTGTAGTTTCAGTTAAACCCTGGCTTATTCTGATGTAAGCAAACCCAAGCAAAATTTACAGTAAAATGCAATAAAACAAAATGACTTTTTTCCACCACCACCCCATTTCTTTTCTTTTTTTTGAGAAGCGCAGAGCGGGAAGCCAGAGATACATCCAAAATCCTCGCCCGCCACTTCCGAGTTTTTAACTTCCAGGCTGGCACCAAACTCACTTGTGTTCCCGCTTTAAGCCCAGGCTGGTCCCACCGACAACAGTTTTGTGTGTGTGTGTGTGTCTGCACAAGAGCCTCTCCGTCTCTTTTTCTCACACCCACCCACCCTTTGCTCTCTCCCACCCCTCCCTCTTCCCAAGCCTTCCCCCCCCCCATGCCAACATCATCCACAGGGGCCCCCAGGGCATTGTCTAGTTGTCATAGCAATCCCATGCGCTGGGAATGCGCTAATGCGCTGGGCTCTCCAAAGCCGGACAATGCAAGAAAGGTCAGAGCAGGGCGGGCAAGCTAGCAAAAAAAAAAAAAAAA